ATTAATCAAACCACTACTTAAATTGACATTCTTAAAAGAAATAGGTAACTTTGAAAGGCATTTTATTCAATCTTTAAAGATCTCAATTTTTAATACCTTAGTTTCAGTCAAATGACGTCCACTGCTGGACAAAGCCCTCCCTCCAGGATTTCCATAACGACCGGTCCTGCGCCGCTCGCATCCAGGTACTTCCCGTGACCTACACTAGATCGTCGGTCCACCTAGTGGTTTTGAATACGTAAGTCATTTTTAATAAATAAATTATTAGATAAAATTATCACTTCACGGGATTTATTGCAACAATATCTATTTTAACGGTAAATAATATTTACCCTCCCGACGTTTCGGCTCGGTTGCACGAGTCATGGTCGCGGGCAGACTGAAGAGATGCGGCGTCGTCTGCTCCGGCGCGATGAGTTTTCTTCACCCACCCGCATTTGCACAATATTTTCGTCAGTGGTACAGTCAGTCCGACAAACTACACTAACAGTGTCCGGGTCTCTCTGAGACGGCCTAGAACGCGATTTGTACTTCGTTATCACCGGATTCCACGCTGATGATAGGTTAAATCCATCTTCTCGATTGAAATTCTTATGCTTTTTAATTTCAATGGCTTCACGTATCAACCTAACATGGTAATGCCTGTCAGTTGAGAGGATTTTCGGGTCATGAAGTTCCATCCAGTGATTAACGTCCGAAGTTAACAAATGCTCAGCTATCGCAGATTTGCACGTCTGTTGGTTCTTTACAGCCGCTATGTGTTCTTTGACTCTTTCAGCTATAGACCGCTTAGTTTGTCCTATATAAGAACTACCACAGCTGCAATCGATCTTATAGACACCCGGCGTCTGAAGAGGTATAATATCTTTTGGCGAGCGAATTTCCTTCGTTACTTTTGACAACGGACTATATACAGTCTTAATGGAGTATTTGTTGAGTACTGTTCCAATTTTATCCGTTACCCCTTTCACGTACGGAAGGAAAGCTGGTTCCCTGCTCACCATTGGTTGCTTATCCGAAACGTCGGGAGGGTAAATATTATTTACCGTTAAAATAGATATTGTTGCAATAAATCCCGTGAAGTGATAATTTTATAGTAAAAAATGCAACATAATAGTTTAAAATATTAATTATTAGATAATATATATATATTCAAATCTACATTTCATTTGGCGTTGCTTATCGTGTTATCCGAAAGTTGAAATTTTAATTTGTTTTGCGAAGCAATTAAGAAGTTTTTGTAATTAATTAAGTTAACGATGTAGACATGGCTCAGTGGCGGTTTTATGGTACACAAATAACATGATTACGTGGTTTTGCGATGATGTACGATATTGAGTTTAGTGTTTATAATATTAAAGCTTATAATCGTAAGCTATTGAGAATTATTGTCAGATACCTTTAGCAGTTAATTAAGTTTACCTAAAGTTTAACACTTAACCTCCAACTACCTCTACGTCTACGAGTATGTATACCCATTAAGAGGGGCTGGAAAGATTATACAGGGTGGAAACTATAAGACAGTGATCTCACTCGATTATTTCTAAATATATTAAATAATCAAGTGAGATCACTTATCGTTTCTAGCCTGTATACGTCACACGTGTTTATTTACCTTATAACTCTATCCGTGAAAATTAGTTTAAATTCCATATTTTCAAAATACTTAAAAACGTACTTCTCTTTGCACCTGTCTTTAATTTTCCAGCATTTTATTGATTGTTAACAAACAGATATCAGAATCACTTTTCCCTTTATAATTCATATCAGTAAATCCTATCTAATTCTAAAACAGTCCACTCTTCAGTCTATTTAATTAGTACAGATGCGCACAATACTACTTTGATGTACGGCTTCGCTCGCCGAACCACGTCAATGAGTCGTTGTCAATAGGGCGATATTTAAGCGCGTCTAAAACAATAGAACGGTAATCGCATTGGTGAGCGGGCCCGGGGCTCATCAATAGTGCTTTCAGCGATTTAGGTAGTGATGTGGCGCTTGCAAAATTTTATTTACATCATACAAAATTTTATAGATCTTCAAACATCATATATTTTTTAAACTGCTTACGAATTCTATATAACAACCTTGTTTGATTGATTTTTCATATTTTGCAGTCTATCATGACCGTTTTTGGTTGACTGGATATAACTTAAGTTAATAGGCAATGAGGAAAACAATTTTCACGCTTAAAAAGTACGGGTTCAACAGCAAATAAATGTGATCAATGTAGATCCCTATAATGGTTTAATTAAAGATAGTTAATTTTAATAATTTACATAATTCTTTTATATGTATTAAAAATTAGTTGGGGTGTCTGAGGTTATGCGCTTTTACATTAACACGTTGTATAAAATGATCTGATCTTATATAAAATAATGAAACAAACTTTAGGTAATCTGATAAACAAAATTATCACAGGAACCGACATAGTGTTATTGATATACCTACTACTTGCATGTAGAGAGTTGTTGCGCTATGAACTTTCACTGGCAACTGAAAATTTACATGTTCAATTTACAATTCAAAAAATACGACCAGAACATCACTACGGCGTGTTCGCGAATAAATTAACAGTTGAGTAAATCTCGTCCCTATTGATAGGTACAAAATTATGCAATCCCGTGCGAAGCGGGATGCGCATAGGGTGCAAATTACCATGGCGTTCGGAGTGGTCAATCAGCTGTGGCGCTTTTATGAAGGATCTTTTGAAGGGATGTTGACTATGCGGTCTTTGGTTCGGATATTAGGCGTCAAAAGTGAATTATGTGAAGTTACACTTTACTGTGAGGCCCGTTTTACACTAAGGCGATGCGGAGCCGTTTTCTAGTATTGAAAGAAGTGGAAATTATTAAATCTGAGGTGGAATTGTGTAAAGCAAACATACTCATTTGACAGTTCATAACGTACGATAAAGTCAGTTAAACAAAGCGTTTGACAGAATAATCGTACGTTATGAAATGAAATTTTAGGGTTAAATTAGATTGTTGATTTTAATTGAATTGCAGATTGTGTGAATTTTAATGTCTAACTAATTTTTCTATACAATGTATTTTGTTTTTGGAATAAATAAATTGAAATTGAAAATTGAAATGTGAACTGTCAAATAACGATTGCTTTACACAATTCCACCTCTGATTGGTTATGGTTATTCAAAACGCTTCTACTCCGCTACACTTTGGTGGAAACCGGGCCGAAGGTTTCAATGCGTGTTTGTGAATAAATTCTGACTACTCGGGCTTAGTGTGAGTTTACAACAAACGTGAGGACTAGTGAGGACATCTGATGTAAACTCACACTTTGTCATTCAACTTTGTCGGCCGTTTGGTGTAGTGGTTCAGAACGGACTACTATGCCGAGAGGTCCCGGGTTCGATTCCCGGCCGGGCAGAAATTGAAATGATGAATTTTAATTTCTGTGACGGGTCTGGGTGTAAATATGTATAATATGTATGTATTTAATAAAATAAAATAAAAAAGTATATAAGTAGTATATCCGTTAAGCTAGCACCCATAACGCAAGCATTGAGTTGCTTACTTTGGGGCTAGCTGGCGCTGTGTGAAATTGTCCAAAGATTTATTTATATTTATTTATTTTATTTACACTCAGCCCACAGATGCTGGATCACTCAATTAAACTAAAATTTTCGTGTCGTTTACCATACCATGTGTCTTTATAATATTAAGTTCAGCTGCACGTATAATGTTATGTTACGTATAAATTTTACCTACTTCTTTTGCTGTGCTTATCAGCACAAAGAGAAACCGTTTTGTGACGATTTATCATAATACATTATCCTAAAGGAGCAAACTTTCATTACTGTTAAAGTGAAGAAAAGTTTGAACAGGTTTTTGCCGTTTGTGCAAATTAAGTGATACTTTTCCCATTAAAAACATCGAAGCAACCCCCAGAAGATATGGTTTATCCCCTTGTTTGTCTGTAACCCAAGTTTAAATTCCCCCGAGTATTGTTTGTTTCCCGTTTTCGCCGCCTCAGCGCTGGTCACAGCAAAACAGGATGCTGGAAAGGATAACAAATGGCCGGGAAGAATCGCGAGTGTACTAAGAATTATAATATTTAGCTCCCCTAGCCCCTTAACCAGGCTCCACAGAGCCCACATCAATTTGAACCTTATGCTGTGAAGATGTGATTGAAAACCAATTACTTTTTTTAGACCTTGTTAAGGGTTATAACAACTAAGTTCACTGGCCCTGGCTGTCATCCACTATGTAATAAAGGGAAGTCGAACCTTAACTATGTCCTCCTATGTCCTTCTGATTAATTTCGTTGCGGGTCCAATGACAGTTAACTTTCCCCCGGGACAAACTTGACCTTCACTGACTGGCTTTGTTTTTATTGGTGGTCAAGCTGTAGATCCTGGCTACACAGGAGTTGCAGCGGTGGGAACGTGAGGTGGAATAGTCTCGTGGCCCTGGTTTTTGCCTCCGTCTTGACTACTTAGCTTTAATGAACTACCTCAGATATCCTGCGATTAAAAATACTTTATTTGTTAGCAAAAATAGGAATATTAAAGAAATATAGATTGAAAACGTTCATCTCCTATTTATAAAAATTAAACGACAAAATCTTTTTTTTATAAATGCGAACTTGAATATCAGAATGTTAAATCGACAGCAGCACCAGACTCTACATTTCTGTCGCTATTACAAGTTACAACTAAATAAGAAGCCACAGTGTTTAACTTGGCTGTCATATTTTAGAAGTTTCGATAACTCTTTTATTATGCAAACAGCTAGGGACTGGAATACCTACGCTGCCTGCTGCTGTCTTTCTTGAACACTATAATCCGAGGCTTTTCAAGGCGAGAGTGAATAGGCACTTACTGGACAGATATGTACCATCCTAGACAGCATCTCACTTAACACCAGGTGCGGTCAAATACCTGCCTTGTCTTGCAAAAAAAAAACACAAAATAAAGTAATGTAATAGTGATTCTTTGTAAACTCCAAATGACTAACCAGTTTTATTCTTCTTTGCAGGCAACTACTAGCACCGAACCTGAAACAAACCCAGTACCTCGCGAATGGCGCCGAAAGTGACATTCGAACCGTAAGTGACTCCAATATATTACACAATACACACGTGAACAGCATCCTCATTCCGTACAAAGAGCTCAAAAACTCAAAACTCGTCGTCGAAAAAGGAAGATTTGAATAGAGATTGACAGACGTCATTTTTGACAGCGAAAGGTGGCTAAAGATTATTTAACCATTGATGAAAAGTGTACGGAAATTAATTTATTTATTACATCACTAACATTTATTGATATATTATAAAGTTGTTTGAAGTTTGTGTATTTCTTTAGTTTGTCAAATTGGTGTGGTGAGCAAAGGTATAAGGTATCTTTTTAGCATCCAAACTCGTCGTCTTATTTTTTTTTCACTCAAACATGATGCTGGCAGTTGGTGTCCAACTGGATAGCTTTATCGAAGCGCATTTCTAATCGGCTTTCGATGTGGTTTCCAACTAAGATGTATAAGCTTCTAAGTAATACCTATACAGTATACATATAGAAGAGGATTTGCGCGTTTGTTACATATGCAAATATTATGGAAGCGAGTGTCTTTCCACCAATCAGATCCGATTAAAGTGAATCTCTTTTTTAACAACCGCAAACAAGTCTTCTGATCCTTATTATTGTGTGCCACTGGTACTTTATAGCAACTGTCTGTACTGTGTAGTGTGTATTCTAGCGCCTTTTATTTCGCCTGTATCGGCTGTCGTCACAAGGCGACTCAATATTGAACAAGAAAATGGCTGTTTCCAGTCTAGATAGAATACAGGTTGACACTCGAACTATTTCTTGAAGCACTCGCTGTTCCACATCAATTTTAATAATGTCTCAATAGAGATATTGACAGTGATATTTTATGGATTTTTTAACATGACATACAGTAATAAACAAAACAACAAAAATAATAATCAAAAGCTTTTACTGCTCTTCCCTTAAATACGATATAATCATAGCATTTATTATAAGAAATAAGGCCGAAAACAATGGTAAACGGTGAATTTAAACTGATTTTGTGACAGTTTAAGATAAAATAGGATTTATAAAAAAACATTAAACATTCACCTCTCAGTATCTGTTTGTTTAATGTTTATCCTCAGAAACGAAATTATTTATTGATACAAAAATAGCTCACAGAATAAACTTGTGTTTTAAAACCTACTCACTACTACATAATAAGATTTTAATCCTGCCTTAACATTATAATAAACTTAAACACGCTTCTTATAAACTTAGAGCTAAGAACTTGGTATTTCTTTGATAAAATTCATTTCTAGATTGCCAGTTCTTAGTTTGAGTTGCTAACTAGAACCTTCAGGCTTCACCTGGATTCCAGTTAGTTTCAATAAACTCGGCGTTAGTTAACCACTTGTTTGTTGGTAAATTGCAGTCTCTATGATTTGATATTACTCACAGATAAAAATGTATTAGAAGTATCATAATTTCGTATCTACTTAACTCAAGATACCATTTAAGTATTTTGTTAGTTAGTACCTATCCATTTTCGACAGAAGTTGGTAAACGTTTTTAGGGTGCGCACTTACCTAATTTTGCATATTAGATACTGCCACTCTTAGGCTGAGTTGCACCACCTAACTTTGTCCGTAACTTTGACGATAACCAGTGCTTTTTGTATGGATTTTGACAGGTTTTTGACGTTTTTCAAAGTTAAAGTAAGATGGTGCAACCCAGCCTTAGAGTGTTCGTTATCGCCCATATTATGAAATTCTAGTAACTTTATCTACGACGCCAAAATTCTAGTTTGACTAATGACTGATCCAAAAACTAATTATACTAAGCTGTAAAGCTGTAGTTCTAATAAATTGATATTCAATTCTAGTTAATTACCCACAATCTCGAACTTATCAAGTCAAGTACAAAACTCAAGTCCATGCGTCTTTCAATTAATAGGATTCGCAGCGATCCGTTGCTTCACTTCGTTCCGCTTCACTTTATCTCCGAGTTGCATCTGTCTGCTGCAGCCATTAAAAGTTTACAAATAAATCCGCCAGGAGGCGCCACAGTGCCAACAACTTACGGCGGAAGAAAAGTTTCTTCTGATTAATAAAAGTACTTACCTTTAGAACTTGTTCGGATCGATGAATATCTTTATAGTAATCACGATCCAATTAACCTTCAAATCTTACGATTATATTTTTAGAATAGGCCTAACTAATTGGTGAAGGACTCTCTCAACTTAAAACTTTTGACTCCGATTATTAACAGTTACGAAACACAGTGGAAAATTCCATTGTTTATTTACCTCCCCAGTCCCAGTTCACTAGGTATTTATAAAATCAAGCCTTTTCGTTGAATTGCGGCATAAGTACCTAGCAGATTTCTAAAGCATTTTTGAATAAGATGTTTGTTTAAGATCAGTAAAATATATTTTTGGAAACTTATTTAATTTGTGGAATTTTTCTATTTTTATGTTTCAGTAAATATTTTTATCTTTGTTACTGAATACATGTTTTCTGGATACAGAAAACCGCTCGAATGAGTAGGTACCTATAAGTACAAATTCCGACTAAACCACATGCCACCTGGCACCTAGACTTGGCAGCGCATCACTTAATAATAGAATTCTAAAACCTCGAGCAATTTGAATCAAATCCAAGCGAAAAAGGTGCAAAACCTGTCAGGGAGTCCTTGTGGGATCCGTGAAATGGGGATGTCAGATCCTCACTGTCCGGCCGGACACGCAAAAAGTTTCGGACGTGCACTTTTTGTTTCTTTGACACTACCTGATGTCCGAATATGTAGGTACCGTATTGAGAAATTACTTTATGCAGGCTCAGGAATGTAGGTAGGTACGTACTAGAAATAGGTAGAATAAATTCACATTCAATATAGAGCATGCGTTTGCGTTTGCCAATCGCCACTTGCTACGCTCTTATAAGTGTAAATGTAAAATACGACTTTATTTGAACATTTTATTTTAGTACCTGACTCAGTCACCACTGTCTGCTTATGATATTTATCTTTCCATTCATTTTGTATCTGCTCTTTTTTACCCGACTACGCCAGAAGGAGTATTATTGAGCAATTATAATCCCTAATTCACAAAAGGCTTTCAAATATTCCCCATCCAAGCATAGCCGCGGCTAATTCATTGAATATATCTACTGAATACCCATAACTATACTATGGAGGAACTACAAGCGCGAATCCAGCAAAATGCTCTTTTGAAATAAATAATCTCTGAGCTTTGAGAATTTCCCTGAAAGGCTAGATCCCAAGTTCCTTGCGCATCGTTTTCAGGCAATTCCTTTACTTCGTTGGAATATATTTCTGGTATGGTTAGATATTTTAGGAAGACTATCTTGCTCTACATCTTTGCTGAGCTTATGTGCGACATGTAAGTTTTATTTTATGTTTAAAAAATATGATCAAGTTTAATTCATGAAATTCACGAAATACTTACTTAATTTGTTTTCATACTCGTAGTCTATGCCTCTCAGATGTTTTTAATAATAACGTCGTGGCCATATACTCGTAGTCCTGAATCCTATGAGTTTTCGTCTAAATAATCATCAAATCTGAACCTATCCTTTCAAGTTTTTAAGGTTTAAAATTAAAATTGGAAAAGAATTACGTCCATTTACGAGGAAATAATGTGCGTAACGTGAATAGCAAAGAAAAACACTGACAATACATAGTTACATACCTACAGTAGGCGCGCGAGTTCATGTCCATTCTGAGGAATGCGGTAGTGCTGTTACCTAATTAATTATGCTAATGTCGATATCGATAATTATTACCAATTAAGTAGGTAAACCTTATTTATTCCATATTTTTTGCAACTTATAAGTAAGTAAGTATAAGTGTAAGTAAATAAGTAAGTAAGTAAGTAAGGCCGCGATGGACATGAACTCTCGCGCCTACTGTACACATGGAGTAACAATAACCTAGGAACAAGTATAAGTTGAATTTTATCTCGTTCCCTTTACACACTTCCCAAACTTGTACAGAAATGTTTAAATTTCCGTGTTCTTGCGCCTTTTGTGTGGTCTCGCTTAATAACGCACAGGCAAGTTGCTTGCGGCATGACTGCGGCGAGTGGCGCCGGGGCGCGGCATAGTTCACGTTTGTACAACCCGACTTTGCAACTTAGTTTAGAATGCAGAAAGTTTTTTCTGAAATATAATTTTGGAACGTAGAAATGTTGGCGAGAATTTAAAGTTATATTGGCTGTGTGAGGGAGAAACATTTTAACTTTTTTTACAAAAGATTATTTTGTCAAACCTTTTCATTTTTTTGTCATTGTAAGGCTGGGCTGTACCAAAATACTTTAACTTCAACAAATGTCAAAAATCTGACAAACTTCATACAAAAAGCACCGGTTATCGTCATAGTTACCGTTGTTAGGTGGTGCAACAACCACTGTCATGTCTATGTAATTGCCTGTATTTGTGTGATGTCCATTGTAATAAATCTTTCTTTCTTTCAACTCAGCCTAAGTAAATTACTCTACACAGAATATCACAAAAGTCCAGAACATTGTGTTTCAGTTACTTACTCAGTACTCAGCCTAAAGAAGGAATAACTCTATTGTTTCCCCTATTTTAATAACATTTTGCATTTCAATAAGTAATACATACTACCTCACTAAAACTACTGAACACATTTTGATGCTACTTTGTAAAGCATAGAGATTGGAGATAGATGATACCTACCTCTAAGAAAGTAATAGTACTAAATAATGATTTTAAATCGGACCAAATCACGTGCAGTTTCATAGAACATTTATCAATCCAACTTCAAAACAAGATCCTCAAAGCCAATACTTGCTAAACGGTTTTAAAACCTGTTCCGGCTCTCAGACGTCTGTGCCCTCTGTCTTAACTGGCGAGTTTACCGAACGAAATTCCCTGAGAATTCAATTAAAACAAACTCAACACTTTAATTGTCTTGCGATGAATAGACCGAGTTTGAAGTAATATCTGGAAACTTTGGGTCATCTATCATCAAATACTTCTATTTGTACTCACCATTACTAGGAAAGAGTAGGTACGAGTACCTAAGTTATGGACAAATG